CTGCCTGCCCCCTGCATGAGTCTGGACTCACACAGCTGCAGAAGTGCTAGGAAGATAGATCACTTTATCCTCAAACATCTGAGTTTGACGGGGGGTATCCATCCCTCCAACCACTCTCCTACCTTCCCCCAGTGCTGTGGGTACTGAAGCGATGGAAGAGGGATGGGGAGAGGGGCAATAGAAGCAGCCAGTGAAGGAGAAATGAAATGCAAATAAATGCACTATCTGCCTAAAATGCCATCCTCAAAGTAATATATCAAAGTCTAGGCACAGGCAGTAAACTCTTGACAGTATTAGGCTAGAAAGATGGAAGTTTTTCCTTCCTGAAGTGCTTTCATATCTGAGTATTTTCTCCAAAACTCTGTCACTTTCCAGATGTTGACTGTGCTAAATTAGCATTACACATCAGCTTACTTGTTTTGTAGAAGAGGAAAGGCAGGGAACGCTGCATCTGGACCTTGGCCAACCCCCTGGGATGGAGCCACACTGACAGTTGTCAGGTGGGGGCTGGTTCAAGAAAGCTAAGATGGGTATTAACAGGTTATTAATATTTTAGAAGATCCATTGGGCTGGAGGGCAAAATCCTTGAGGATCCATATGAGGACTGATCTTCTGTATTTTCACTAGCAAGTCAGCATAGGAAGGAAGGGTGCCTTGGTGCCATTTGCTAATAAGGCAAAATCAGGAGGGTTTGGAAATACAGAAGAAGAGTAAAGAAACTGGGCTGCCTTGAAGGCAGGAGGGGTGGAGATGGGATGAAATGCAGGGAGATGCGATGAGGGGTTCCCAGCAGTAATTGCTGCAGCAGGCAGGGAGCTCCTCAGCTGGCAGGGACCAGGGAAAGGCCTGAGCCATTGCTCCAGCATGAAAAAGGCAGATCCGATGTGATGATCTAGAGAGCAAACTGGTTCAGCAAACATACTCATGAAGGACGACAGCAACGCAGCAGTGGCCCACAGCTGGACTCCAGGAGACATTTTCAGCCACGGCACATGAGACATGGGTTTTAATGGGAAGGAGGCAGAGAGGGCTGTAGGAAAACAGGGACCTGGCCATGGCTGCTGTAACCTGCCAGATAGAGGCAGATGGTTCCCCACAAATACTCTGGGGGCACCAGGAGGAAAAGGACTCTTGTCTCAAAAGCCGAGTTGCGGCCCAGACCTGTGGAGGGACTTATTCAGAGGACTGATCCCAAAGATCCCTTTTTTCCTTTTTCTCCTCATCTTCTTTCCTCCCCACATAGATATTCTTGATAATTGTTTTTGTTCTTGTCAGCTCAGGAACAATGGTGGCACTGACTTTTCTGTCCTCCCGCCGCTGCTACATCACTAATCCTAGCAAAGCACAGGAGCTGTCTTGCAAACCCCAAGCCTTTTGCTACCTTGAGATGCTTTTAAGACCAACACTATTTGCTCTTTGCACTGACAAACCACCAGTTTATGCAAAATCTGGAGGCAAAGCAGTGCTTGAGCTAACATGTACCAGCTAAGCGTCCCAAAGCTTTGCTTAGGTATACTAAACCATGCCCATGGCATGGCATCCAGGCAGGCCACGCTGTGCTCTGCCACCCACCTCCTGCATCTGCAAACCACGTCCCACGGACACAGATGGGGTGTGTTAGTGGCAGAACAGAGCCCTAAATTGCAGGCAGGTGGGGGGCTGTTCCCCACAGGCTTTGCAGCCCCCCAGCCTCTGCATTTCAATTGCCTTTTCATCTCTGTCTTTGCTGGGGGTCGGTGCTTTTAAGTGCCCGCCTGAGAGGGATTTCGGGTAGCACCTGGGCTAAACCTCACTCCACACATGCAAAGGGAGACATTAATCTGCCAGTGCCCAGCAGCGCAGTGTGGAGCAGCTGGGGCCACCTCAAATTCATCTCCCACCACCAGCTCAATGTAAGAGCAGTGTGATGGGTATGAATCAAGTGCTACAGTTTCCCCCCCGATTAAACTCTGCTCAGCCACAAACTACATCAGTAAATAACAAGCACACACCATTCAGGCAGTCCCAACTGGCAGAGACCCACCATGACCCTGCTGCTGTCAAGGTTTGAGGAGGGAGAAATGTAAAGGCACTTGTAAAATCCCCCAGAAGGATGAGTATTATTTTCCAGGCATCCAGCTAAGGGCAGAAAAGCCATCACACCTAGACCTCTTCACCACACTCCTCAAAAATGTCTTGCAAAGGGGTGGTGGAAGGTAGGAGAAGAGAGCCCAAGGCCAGCACCTGGGAGAGGTTCATCCTGCAACCACAGCCCTGTGTGAGGCATGCAACGCTCCCAGTTCAGGGAGAGTCGGGTGATGGGAAGCAGGAGAAGCCACCCCTCCAGCCTGCAGGGCATTGGGTACCTCCCACCACAGAGGTTCCCCCAGGCTCTCCTGATGCCCACCTGCCCCCAGCAGCAGCTGACAGCCACCCACCATGCTGTGCCATGCCAATGGATGCCCCAGCTGCTGCCCTGCTGCCAGGCACGGTCTGCCCCAGCCTCAGGGCCACCCAAATATGGCCTGTGTTAGCACCCACAGTCAGAAAACCCACCATCCCTGCTTCTTCCCTCGGCTCAGCCGAGGAAGGGCACGCTTCGGGGTCTTGCGTCCACCTTCACAGCCACTGCTGCAGCCACTGCTGCCGCTGAAAGCAGCTATCTGTAGCCTCTGGCAGTTTGGGGACACGGGTAATCATTCTGGAGTAATTACCAGCTTACTCCCTTGGAGGAGTTCGCTGGTGAGAAGTCCCTGGCAGCTAATTACTCCAATTACTTCCTGACACACAGAGCTCCAGTGCCCAGGGCTCTCTGCAGCAGCACACAGCGCTGCTCAGCAGCTCCCCGCTCCTCACATGCCTCCCTCCCTGGGGCACCCGCTGCCCCGGATCCCCTCCTCTGGGACTGCACAGGGTGCGCTGGGGTGATCGGGTGGTGGTGAGAACCCACTGGCACTGAGGACATGGAGCTAAGTGGTATCTGAAGAGATGCCCCACTGGCTCAGCACTGCTCCTCTGGGGCTGCCCCACCACACAGTTCAGACCCAAGGATCCCACAGGATGACCTTGAGCCCCCCTTTCTCAAGCAGGTTGATGCCCAGGAAAGCTCAGCAGGGCTTTCTAGCAAAGGTCCCCCTCTGCCTAAGTGGTTGGTGGTCAATGAAGCCAGACTGCATCTGGAGCAGGACTGGGCTGCAGCAGGGACTGAGAGATCCCAGACACGCTGAAGAAAGAAAAGTTATTTGCAAGCAAGGCTGAGGGGAGGGCATTATTGCATCTCAACTCCTAACAAGGTCACTAAAGTTCCCTATTCCCCCTGCAAAGGGAGGGTAAGAAAGACAAGACTCAGCCCTGCTATTAGACCCAGCCTCAGGGGCTGATCTTGCAGGTACAGGGCTCAAGAGGGCCTCCCTTCACATTTGTAGGGTGCTCTGACCCCCAGCAGCTTTGTAGGAAATAAGAGCAGGTACTGCGGTTGTCACCACCCTCCTCAGCAGTAGCAGCCAGCCACAGACCCCCTACAGCTCAGTCCTGCACAGCCACACTGGTAGACACCACAGGGGAGCTCACATGCATTAAGGAGACAGGGCTTTTTGGAGACCCCCAGCAGAGCCTGGGCAGGCAGGGACCCCTATAGCCCTGTATCCCAAAATGCTGGCAGGGCAGAGGTGCAAGCAGCTGGTTTCAGCCTCCCAGTACAGCACCACCACTTCAGGGCAGGACCACCTGCTGACACCTCATAGATTGCCACCACATCCTTGCCATCACAAAGCTGTGCCCACCGCATCATCCCCAGCCTTGCAGCCGATCCGGGAGGCAAGTCCTGGCCTCTCACCAGGAAGACACAGCCCCTGCCAGGCCTGCAGAGCTCCACCAAGCAGATGGTCCCCACCAGGTCCCACGAAGTAGAAGAGGACCTTCACAGGAGCAGGGATTGAGGTGCACACAGGCTCTCCCCCACCACAAGCCAGTTTTAGAAAGCAGGCAGGGAGGGAAAAGCCTTGCCTTGCCCAGAAATCACACAAGCAAGAGTAAGAAACTGCACAGGACTAGGAGTGGAAGAGTCTTTATTGCTTTGGTTTCTTACAAGTGAAATATATGCATCTAGGCTTGCTGCAAGGAGACACCCATGTTGCATTCAGCTTGCAGCATGGCACAGGGGACACAGGGACACTGGGCACACAAGGTTTGGTCTCTCTGCCTTCTCCCAGGCACCAGGGAAGACAGACCCTAGGAAATTAAGGCAGCTGCCAGCTGTGAGAGTAAAGGGTTGTGTGAAAGGTTATTGCTACAACACCAGAAAGGTAAGGACAGCTTCTCCGGAGCCTGCAAAGGACACCAGCTCCTAGTTTAGCATTCCCAGCAGACTCCAGTGGGGACACAAACAAGTCCCCTCCTCTACCAGCCTCTGCTCCCTCTAGGGAAGATCAAGGCAGCCAGAGGCAAGTATTAAGAGCCAGAAAGCCAAGATGGCATTGGTGCTGACCCCAAGTGAAGCTTTTATTCTCCTTAGCTGGGAAGAACCCAGATCAAAGACGCTCCTCCTGTAAAGCTGAGCACTCCCCAAGCCCCTCCTCACACAGCTGAGCCAGCACTGCTCTGCTCACCTAGGGGACAGTGGGCACCTCCACGCTTGTCATGCACACCCATGTTACTCATTCAAGCAAGTGCCTGGGGCAGAGAGACCTTCACATCCTCGGTCTCAAGAGGCCCGGCAGCATCCCGTGACACTGACACAGTATTGCCTCCCTTGCTCACCCTCCGAGCACAAAAAAGGGACAACCCCCCAGGTCCCCTCCTTTGGGGCAGCTCTTTCCACTCTTCCTGTCTCTGGGAACAGGCACTGCAAGGACACTCCCATACCTGATTGAACCACACAGAAAAGGAAGCCAGAGACTAGGAACAAAACAAAACCAAACCAGAACAAAAGTTAGAGCAGGGCCCCAGCCCAGGCACCCCACCGGAGAGCCAAAGGGCACGTCAGCAGAGGAGCTGTGGCCAAGCCAGCTGGCAACCAGCGCTCAGGCATCCACGAGCGTCAGCCCATCATGCAGGGCACGCTTCCACATGTAATAGGTGGAACGGGCCGTGAGCGGGAAGCGGGCACTGAACTCCTTGTAGGTGGGGAAGGTCTTCGACTCAAAGCGCTGCTGCAGGAACAGCTTGGCCTGTGCCTTGAACTGGGCAGTGGCAATCACATCCATCACGAACATCCGGCTGTTGGCTCTCTCTGACATAGCATAGCCCGAAATGGTGGTGTTGTACGGTGTGGCCGGCACTGGCTTATTGAGGTGCTTGGTGGCGACCTCCACGTGGCACTGGGGCTTGGGGCCTGGCTCTGCTGTTGGAGGTGCCAGGGAAGCCGCCCGGTTCAATGGCCGGCTGGAGCCGGGCCAGGGCACGCGACCCGCGCCGAGAGAC